TGCTGCCTCTCATCTCTCTTTCCCATCATCCCCCACACCCTTCCTGCTTGGCTCCAACTTCTCAGACTCCCAAATGCATCAGGCTCTCCTGCTCTTTGGCCTTTGCTCCCCTTGCCTGGAGCCCTCTTCCTTCAGGGCTCAACCCTAATGTCCCTCTCCTCTGGGAAGCCTTCCTTGACCTTGTCCGTCGTCTGTCAGGCTTGGTTAGGAACTGTGCCCCTGTGGTCCCACAGCATCTGGCTTTCCCTCTTACTGTGCTGGGCTGAGATGGTGAAATGGTCTGTTTAAGCCCCGTCTCCATAGTAGAGGCTAAGCCCTGTGGTCCATAAGCAAACACTGCCCGGTGTCCACCATTTCATCTCCAGGCCTGAGCCCCATGCTCCCTTTACTGAATTCAGGGAATTCAGTAAAGTTCCCTTTACTGAATTCAGGGAACAGGTCGGATTCATATTTGGCTCCCTGGATTTATCACAACGCTTAGGATCAGCAGGTAGGAGTAAATAGTAGTGAACGAATGCAATATTCTACTGGCTGAAATTCAGTTCTGAGATTAACACGCTTGAACTTGCTACTTATACCCATGTTTGGTGCCCAAATGTCAGTATGCCCTGTACAGATGGCAAGTAGACATTTATTTCTGACATACACAGAATAAGATAGACCATGAATCGGATTGTGATACAGAACCAGGGACAGGCGTCTTCAAGTTGGCTGCATGTGCCCTTTGCTTTAGATTCCAAAGATCCTCCTTATTACTTACTAGCTAGTCATTTCATCCTGCTGGGACTCAGTTTCTTCATATGTAAAATGAGTCTTTCCCAGCTTCAAAAGCCTGTAAGAGGAAGTGGCCTGCTATTCTTACGCATTGAGTTCGAAAGGTATTTTGAATAAGAAGGCTCCTGGAAAAAATAAAATACTCTACCAAGGCGTCTTGCAACTCACACTGCAGCATGTTCATACATGAAAGTTTAAAGATGGCGAGTAGGTTAAGGTAATTTAGCAATAAGTTGTTCTAAAAACATTTTGTGGAGAATATATATATATATAAACAATTATAGACAAAATTATAAAGTGTCTGGTATTTTAAAAAACTATACAGAGAATTCAGCAATCATGGCGGAGTCAGGAAGTCTAGTGGTAACCAACCTATGATTTGCAGTATTTGTAAAAAAATTTTAAAAAACTGACTAAAACTGCACCATTTTATTTTTTAAACTGCTAAACAATATTACAAGATGATTCCGCAATGCTTCCTCTTCATATATACTCAAAACTTTTAAGTCGCTGACCTAGTGTAGCTCTTCCACAAAATATGATTCGTGTTGGCGATGCCACAGAGTCGGGTATATTGGGATCAATATTATTACATATAAAACCGTGAGTACCTTAATTTTTGTCTTAATTTAATTTACCTTAATCTACTTAGTACTGAGTACCTTAATTTAATGTCTTTTATAATCACTTTGATCAAATCTATGATTTATACAAATGTAAAGAAACTCTAATAGACCCTTAGGTCTCTTCCTTTTCCAAGTTCCCAAGTTCAAGGGGCCTTGGTGATATTAGAACTTCCTATTTTAGTTTCCTAAAATTAGACGCATATTTAGAAAAGGACCTTAACAATCTTACCACCTTAAACACTTAAAAAAAAAAAGAGAGAGCAGAAATATTTGTATTTTCTTAGCTTACTCAAATCAAAATTGTTCCTTAGTAAAGCCATCAGCTAGCTCTATACGTTACAAATCTTTTCTTGATGTAAAGGTTTATCTATATGTGATCTTGCAGTTTTCATTTTGGAGCTTTAAGAACTTTTAAGTTCTTTTGTTATTTAAAGCCCAAAATAAACAAAAATCGTAAGAAGTATGATAGTCTTATAGATTATGCATTTAAGACACCAGAAAAGTATAAAACCTTACTCCTTATCAAACATGAAGGGAGGGAAATAAACTATTTTGTTTTACACACACACACACACACACACATACACGCAAACAGATGGAGGCTTAAAAGCTGAAACATACTTCTAAGCCCTAGTTTTAGTTGGAAGAGTATCCATTTGTTTTTTCCCCTCAAACCCATGTATTTAAATTCAAGTATGACTCTTTTAAACAGCATGCCTCATTTCGGGTGAGTTCCTAAAACATAGGAAGCTGTTAAATAGACTTTTTGGCAGTGACGCACCCCTTCGATGCCCCAGAAATTCTAGCCAGACCAGATTCCACTCCACTTTCAACAAACCACACACGGGCTCATTTCCGTCTCTTTGCTGATATCCTCCTCCATATCACGTATATGCTCCTTCAAAATTTGTCTGTCATTTCCCCCGTGAGGCCTGCTCTGGCAGTTCCAGCTGGCCTAGGCTTTCTCCTGAGTTCTGAAGGTTCTGGATTTCTAGTAATGCACAGTCATGTTGGTCTCTCAGTTTCTTTTTACTTTCTCCCCTGTCCCCACCCCCTAATCTATGCCCTATGAGGACCAGGCTAAGAGAAGAGGGGGACTGTATTGCCTATGGCCTTCTTTGCTGTTCAGTTCCCAGGGCCTAGAGGTGGCGGAACATGGGGTGCTTCTCTAGCTGCTTAATGATGAGTGACCTCCTGGTATTTAAAGCTCGCACATGCACATGCTATCTTTTATCCAGGTCCTTTTTAAGGGCAAGGACTATTTTATTGTCTTAGGTCATTTCTATCACTGTGGTCATAAACATAACGGGCTAAAGATAGAAACTATATTTAGAAGCACTGAAAGATTGGGGTCCTCTGATCCTAGTGCCTCACTCGAAAAAGTTAAAGATTTATAATTTTGACTTTTGTTAGCAGGATCACTGTAACCAGTAAATAACATCCAATGCTTCTGAAAACGAAATGGAGCTCAGTCTTTGGTGAGAATTCTAAAGTCAATATATGTAATGGTGAAAAATCAGAGTAAAAATGGTCCTCGAAAAATCTTTCCAGTGGGTCTCCCCCCAGATATAGCATACATGGTTTGTACATGTCTCATTATGTCGAGGTAAATATAATAAAACAGCATAATTTCCACCAGGGTTGGAAACAGAGCTGTTTCTTCCGGTAAGCATCGTATAAAGTAGCTGCATTTTTAGGGGTCGAGTAGTAGGAAAAGACACTTTTTGGTTTTTATTCCTTTCGTTTTCTTACAAACACAAGTCTTATAGTCGAATTAAATGAGCATGAAATGCAACACTACAGAAAACCAACTGTTAAGATAATGAATTAACTCTACAAATAAAAACTCCAGGCACGCAGATAGTGACAAGAGCATGAGTCTATCAGTTCAGAAGCTATTACAATATATCCTTGAATGCCAAGTCTCTACTAACACTTGGACAATTCCCCCTACATTTCTCCAAGTTACCCGTCAGCTCTGCAGCATCTTCTCTACAGTATATCTCCACCTTTACGTAAAAATTGTTTACCTCCCCCCCACCAAAAAAAAAGCAGCAATTTTTTTCAAACGTATTTCTCTAAAAATAAGAACCAAATCTAGGTTGTGGAGAACTGTTTTTGATATCTGGCTACAAGTTATTCAAGATAGTCTGCATATTTTAAAATCAGAAACAAATCCAGTTAAAGCAAAGCCACCGCAAAAATGTCGATGTCCGCCTTGTCGTCCCTCTTCCACACATACAGAATCAAGTCTAGTCGTAAAAAAGAAAGACTCTGTGTAATTATCATATGACCCACAATTGCACTCCTGGGCATTTTTCCCAGGAAAAATGAAAACTTATGTTCACACAAAAACCTGTACACGAATGTTTATAGCAGTTTTATTCGTAACAGTCAGGAACTGGAAACAAGCCTGAAGTCCCAACCGGCGAATGGTTAAACAATCTGCGGGACCACCAGACCCTGGAATACTACCCGACAATAAAAAAGAACAAAGTCCTGAGAAGCGCAAGTTGAATCTCCAGAAAAAATATGCTGAGTGAGAAAGGCCAATCCCCCAGGGGAGCACACACTAGAATCCCACTTATAGCACGCTCTGGCAAAGACCACATGATAGAGATGGGGAACAGGCGAGTGGTTGCTGGGGTTAAGGAGAGGGGCAGGGGAGAAGTGGATAGTATGGATATGAAAGGGTAACAGGAGGAATCCCTGTGGGGATGGGAATGTTCTGTACCATGACTGTATCAATGTTAAGGCCCATAAAGCCCAGGCTGCGATACTATTATACTACATATTACAAGTGTCCCCATTGGGCAAAACTGGGTGAAAAGTACAAGGGATCTCTCCATTAGTTAGTACTAGTGCCTGTGAAATCTGTACTTATCTTGAAATATAAAGTTTAGTTAAAAATTTAAAAAGAAATATTCTAGCCTAAAAAATTTACTTGACCATGTTGAGACCCAAGCTTAAGAACACATCACAGCACCTTTGATGCTTTCTAAAAACTACAGAGTGGACAGAGTACAAAGTGGGTCAAGCACAAAATCGTGACCCGGAGCTGCTTCTACAGGTGTTACCAGCACCTGTGACTCTCCCGCTTCCTCGGCGAGGACCGTCTCTGATCACACAGACGCCCTCGCAGCGTTCACACGGCAGAGGCCAGAGGATTGAATCCTTCTGTTTTCCTACAGCTGCCACAGGCCACAACAAGGCACTTCCCAATGGCAAGGCAACCCATTATTAGTCTATACAAATGTAAGAACTCTGTGAGAGAACTGGATGTAACCTTATTTACATAAATCAAATATTCAAACATGTAACAAATGATCTGCCTGTTAAGGCAACATTTTCTTGTATCTGAGTTGAGCGAACAGATTTTGTGAGGAGAACTGTTCTATTCCAGGGGGACTAATATAGAGAAATAAAATATATGTATGGATTCCTTTCAAGTCTTTTTTTCTCCTATAAATATAATAGTTGTACGGGCGGCGCTGGACCGCTAGAAGAATCGCTATGATGGAGATAGGGATTTTTTTTTGGAACCCTCTTTTTCAAGTACAAACATGCATTCAATCCAATAAAGACATTTTAGAAGAAAAGTCAACATATAGAATTGATTTTATTTTTTCTATACTTTGATTCAAAGAGAAAATGTTTGGTGATACTCTACAATACTAATCATTTCAAATAAAATGGATGATGAAGAAGACATGACCTTCTTTTGCATAACAACTGAGGATCTGAATTGGAAAAATATTTTTGTCTATAAATAGGAATATCCAAAACAATTTAAACCTCTTGCGCACTTGACTGTTCCAGGTCCTTTGCATCTAGATTGAACAGACCACAGGAAGTTTCAAAGCCCGATAGCTGAATCTAAAAGGAAAAGAAAAAGATTCATTTAGTTGTCATGGTCACTGTCACCATCAATCCCTAATATCTCAGACTTCCCGGACCGCACTCAACTTCGCCATGCCGCTTTCTGCTTGGGAGAAGACAAATCACTAATCAATTATGTACACTAATTAAAAATGCTACCTTTAGGAGGTGTTTTCATACCTTAGTAATAGGGGTGAGTATTTCCTCTCACCGCTGACTTTGAAACCTTTTCGCTATCACATTAGGCAGGATGCAATGAACATTTGCAAACACTTAATGCTACAGTCTACATACACTATCGAATTGCCCTCCAAAAGTGGTGCTACGATTCTGCAACTGGTTGAGGTCACATGGAAAATAGAATTATATGCTAATTTGTTCCTACATTAAGTTATCATAGAAGGTCAGACCAAACACAGCAAAATGAATTCTAGAAAAAAAATTAACTAAGTAGATTGGTATGTACCGTATCAAAGTAAACTGTTTATCTCAATAGATACAAATACAAGAAAGATTTTTTTAAATGAGGGCATTTTCTCCTTTTCAAAAAATAAATGTTTTAACTAACCCCAGGCAATGACTTGCATGATTTGAAAACACTCTATATAAATAATTTTTCCCTAAAGAAGAACAAGGGCAGAGTATTTTTTTCAAGGGGGAAAAAATGGAGAAGGACATAGTATCCAAAAGAGAATAATTTCCCCAGAAGAAGCCTTCCTTTATCTACATATTTATTAAAACTTACTTCACATAAGTAGTTGTACATCTGCACTGTAAAATGAACACACAGGTTTAAACTACATGATGGGGTCAAGAGGTGCTGACTATAATACATGTATTATTTAACACCAAAGTAAACTAAACAACAATATAGATGTTTTCATTAGCCTAGATCTGTCTGAAAAAAAAAATGTTTTATTTAAAAAAACCATTGCGAAAAAAACCCTATATTCATTTCTTTTTCTGGAAGTTATATCTATAGACATCCCCTTATCCATGGATAAGCTGTATAGATTCTACATCAACTTAAAAAACAACAACTATAAAGCAAATTGATTGAAGAATTTGTGGGCTACCAGTTTTGTATATGATGATGGTGTACTCCTCACAGTTCTGTTTTCAAAGGTCCGTTTATAGAAAAAGGGAAAGAATCTGGGTGAAGGGGTGAAGGAGAAATGAAATCTTACAGCATTTGAAACCATGGGACCAGTATTTTATAAAGCATCCAATCTACTGCAGAACACAACTAAGACGAGTGACAGAGATCATCTGTGTCACACCCTTAGGCAAAATCCTGGGGGAGAAAAAAACAGTAATTTTTTTGTTCTAGAGTCTCTCCTTTTTTCCATTAAAAGACAGGTTTATATTTTTCATTTTATTGCAACATTTCCAATGCCGTCCTATAAGAGAACGAGCACTCACAAAAAGCCATCTGAATTTTCTTTCACTCGGAACTCATTTTTAATTTTTAGAGGAACTTTACCTACTACTTTTTTAATAAGATGCCATTACTATTAGTTATCATAAGATATGCTGGATTCCCATGAAGTATCAGTTTGACATCTTGCTCAAATACTTACTTTTCTGCTATTTATTACCAGCAATGCTTACCCTATTTTCTCCTAACCAAGTTAGATATGAAGATACTTCTTCAGGCACAAAGTCTTCAGGCTCCTTGATGGATTATAAAATACAGCTATATACTTCTCCACTATTATTCTTGTTTGAAGGACCTCATGTATTGGGATCTTAATCTATAAAAAGTTGAGAATTACATTCAAAAAAAGGAAGGGAAGTCGGACAAAAATGAAAACATGCACTGATGCCTAAGTAAATTAATCTTCATTCCCACTGAAAGCAATCTGATGTCCAGGGACTGGGAATTATTCTACCATAAAATACGGCACATTAAATACTACAATAACCCATTTGAGATGTCCTAAGATAATGATTATGTCATCTACAAATGATCGTACATAGAGTTATATTTTAATATTCATTACTGGAGGTTCTAATGCAAAATATGTTGAAATGGTGAAAATACTCAGTCGGTTAAAGATAAGATCAAGCAAATCAAATTCTGTAAACTGAAAGTAAGACTCAAAATAAGATCTGAAAAAAAAGAATGGATAAAAGTAAAGGCAAAATATTTGGACCCTGGTTGTAATCACAAACAATACTATCATTCCTGATGGTTTGCATATAAAACTCCTTATCTTCACTAGCTAGTTGAAAAGGATGAAAAGCTTCTTACAACCAGCTAAAAAGAAAGTCTTTACCAGGCTCCTCGAAAAAGCTCATTTTCACATTACTCAGGCTTCATTATGCTAAATCAATATTCGTTTAGTCACTGGGGTTATTGACATATTTTAAAATAAAAGTATACCCTTCAGCTACTGCACTCATTACAGGTAATTTGTCTTGTCAGAGAGCAGGGAATATTATCCTAGTCTTTCAGGGGCTGACAGCCCATGGAAATACCTCTCCATGGTTACAACTGTAAATAATTTTAAGGTAAAATATTGAAAAATCAATGACTGTTTCCTGCAATCTGTCACAAACAAATCAATCATAATCTGTACTGCCAGAGAGTATGATTTGAAGGAGATGGGAGCAGATGTAATTCTTGGCTGAAATCTCTCATTTCAAAATCACTTCACATAATGGTGTCATCATTTAAACACTCAACAGTCAGTGCAACTGCCACTGTAACATCTAGTTGGACAAAACCACAAGGAGGAGGAGGAGAAAACGCCATCGCCATTATGTTAACAAACATTTAATTTTAATGGCTGCAGCATTAGTAAATTTCAGCTGAAAACAGTTTCACCTGTCCCCTTTCACAGTCCTACATTAATCAAGGCTGCCGTTCTACGTACGAATGCTTAATAAATTAGCCTCTGACTCAAAACTTGACTCTCCCACATACACCTTTTATTTTCAAGGTCTGTTATAGAGAATGAAATTTGGAATTAATAAATAAGACATCTGGATTGTAGAATATCCGTAATTCTGCCCATATAACAAAGACAAAAAATAGTGTCATAGATGTCAAGATTATACTTTTAAAGTAGGTTTAAAGGTCTCAGTTGCCCGGATATTAAATTTTATATTTTCCTTCTATTAATACATATTACATTTCAACTTTGTAATATTGTAGCCTATTTTAAGATGACCAGCAAGACCCAGTCAATTCAAAAATACCCTCGCATTCTACACCCAAGCTATAGGCTGATATTTTAAAAACTGAGGTAATAACCCAAGTATCTGAAGTGTAAAAGTTGGTCAAGGTCCTAATATTGAATTGTTTTGTGAATGTAAACTGCTTTCCAAGTGATCGCTTTGATATCACCATTTTTTCTAGGCTACATTTTAATGGCTTCCTCGGCTTACAACCTCTACCTCGGCATCAATACAAGAATCTGAGATTGGTACTTCTTGTTCTGTTAACCAAAAACATCATTTGATTTAAAGATCAAAGAGTCTTTTTTCTGCAGGTTTTTGTTTTTAAATGTACACTAGCCCTTTTAATGGAAGAACTTGCTTTTAGCTACCACATTGCTTACCAATTTCCAAATTATATCACTGGACACCATGAAACCCTTTATTATCCTATTAATACCCCTCTATAGGTATAGTTCAAGAAGTAGATGGGTTTTGGTGACTAGAAAAGTGTATCATTTTTCTTAAAAGGGAAAAAAAAATAGATATAAATACCACTCCACAACTTAAGCCTATATAAACATTCTTAGGCCCAGGCATAAAGGGGTTTTAGTCTGTTTTTAATTTCACCTGCATATTCAATGTGGCAACACGGCATGAGGAGACAGAAGCTTTTCTTATGGATACCAACTGAGCGTGAATTCTGTCCTTCAAGAATCTTTGAGTCATTCTTTAACACTACCATTAGATTTTTGAAAACGAAAAAACACCCGGGTAAATGATCAAAGATATCATCCAGAGGAAAACACAGTCCTCCATTCCATGTGAAACCCTGCAACAGCTGCAGAGGAAGCGGCAAGCCAAGCTAGTGAGAGGAAAAGCAAAGTATTACCCGTAGCCTAGGACTGCAAGGAAAATGGAAAGGGACCTCAAGGGGTGAACAAGGAAAAGGACCCATGTGTGTGTGAGCCCCTGCGCCAGAGCTGCCCAGCCTGGGCCCAGCTCCCTCCCTGGCAGAGCTCTGGAGCCAGCTGTCAAACACCAAGGCTCGCACTCAGAGTAGGCCTGAGACTGGCAGTGCATGGCCCTGCAGAGAGTGCCTTCCCAGAGAAGGCAACAAAGACTGGGAGGTAAACGAGGACAGCCAAGCAACATGCCGAATGCACGCACATCAGCCACAAACTACGATGACGTCTACTAGAACTGGGGAGGCCACCATCACAGATCTAACTCTCAGAAAGAAGCTATTTTAAGGGTGCTGAGTACGCCTAGATGAGATTTCTCAGCTCTCCCAGCACAGCCCACAGCCCTTGGAGAAACAGCTCAAAACTCAGCACGGGAAAGTCAGATCGTTTCATACCCCACACTTAAAGAAATTGCTGCCTGGTAGATAAAGTTCTTATATGTAATAAAGGCTCAGGATTACAGAGGAAAGTATTCTTTTAAAAGAGATAATATTACCTCCCTATCTTCCGAATCTCCTCCTTCCGATAGGCAGTATAGTAGCTCCATTATGAACTGTAGACTCTTAAAAAGAAAAACAGCAATAGTTAGCTTCATCTTTCCTTGCACTTCCTTCCTTCATGGAATTACAATTTAATTACCAATACTTCGATTGATTTTATTCCTGAATGACACATTTCTCAAAAAGCATACTCTATTTCCACTAGAGAACATTTAGTACAACCTTCTCAATTAATCAACCATAACCCATTACTGTTGAAAGGACATGTTTTCTTCATATTTTTTTTAAAAATGGGACCCTCCCACCTGTTTTATATAAAAGGAGTACTAGTTTTAATACATTTGAGTATCATTAATATACATGAAATATGAATCTTAATAATAAATTTTGGCTGACAACAGATATAAGACAAAACCCACTTGCATATATGTTTAGATTTTTCCTGTATTTTTCCTTGGGGGGGGGAAACCCACCCAACCCTCTGTCTTTTAAATTCAACAACTTTACATGTGGTTAAAAACAACAACAATAACAACAACAACAACAAAGATGAAGCTTAAAGGCAAACGGGGAGGAATCAGACTGCTCACTGCTTCACATTTTCCTTGGATTCCTGTTGTGCATTTTCTAACTGGCTGTAAGGCATCAGCCCCTGGTCACACATGAAACCCTGTCTCCATAAGACCCAATCACCGACAGGGGAACACAAGTGTGTTATTTAAAAACAATTATATATCACTTCACCTTTATGTTAAAAATCACTTTCTGCCCTTTGAAAGTTTACAGAGAAGCAGTTGCTCTACTGCAGGCTGTCCTGACTAGAGTTGCCTTCTGTTTCAATTAGCCTTTTCTCCTTTGGTCCTACAGCCATCTTTTTTACTTAACAAAATATTCTCTATCACTAAACCCAGTTCCTTGCTCTTCCCAATAGACAACACGAATATTCTGCAAAGTAATTTTTTCTCATCTGCTTATATTCAGCAGCCCCTATTCTGATGAGAAATGACAAGCTTTACACACACCTGTACACCCTTTGAATTAAAAGAGTTTAGAACCCATGCCTGGAGCTGATCCTCCCATTAAGTTTACTCTTAAAAGAACTGGGTAATGAAAATAATCAAAAACTGTAATTTGGTATAAACAGATTATTTCCTTTAAATAATAATCCCATTTCTATGAAATATAACCTCAGTCTTGACTTTTATGGAAAGCACTGAGTTTATAAATTTCGCCATCCAATGATATCATTAAAAATTAATTATTCAATGTATTTCCACAAATCAGAAATTTTTCTGTTTACTGAACTTTGTTTAATGCATTTAGTAAAATTTTAATAATCAAAGGCCTCAAGTGACATTCTTTACAATTTGTACTTAGTTCCTATTACTAATATAAATACTTTGGTAAAACCAACACTGACGCTATTTTGGGTTTACTCCACACACAAACACACCGTGTTACAGACACTCACTTGCAGATGAGCTTGGAGATATGCAAGGACAAATTTCAGCCAACATTTGGAGGAACCCCATCGTTCAGAAGTGAACTTAGCTGAAAACATCCAAATGTATTATGGAAGCATCATACTTATAACCTGCACACACATAAAAAAATAAAAATGATTCTGTTTAAAGAAACACAGAAGACTAGTTAAATACTTTGGGGATGTTAGATATGAATACCTAATATAATTTCCTCCAAGGTATCACTCCATATTATGCCAAATAAACAAATAAAGGTTGTATCGAGGTATGGAATATCATTAGCCTGAGAAAAGGCTAGAAAAATGAATTACCTAAATGACAACTGCAGGAGAAAATTATATTTCCTTCTCCTGAACAAATGTTAAGTGCATCTTTACTAATAAAGATTTAAACCTGAACTACATTAGAATATACTGGTTTTCAATTTTCAAGCATCTAAGTTAATTTGCCAAACTAAATTGGTGCTTAGGTATATTCTAGCTATAAAACTATTGCAAATTTATGCAGAAATAAGTTATAAGTATCACACTTCGGAGTAGTGCTGTGACAGCAAACCCCAGTCATTACTGCACAAGAAAGAAACAAACAACTCCAGGATTTTACATCTTCTTAGGGTTGCATCATTTGCATCTTTTAAGAACAATTATTCTCTATAAAACAGCTAACAATATACCAAAAAGATGTTAAAATTAAAGGAGCCAATAAAACGTAGAAATTGAAGAGAAAAACACACAGATGTCGAGCTATTACCACACAAAAAAGGCTGTGCTACCTCAGAGTTAAAACATTATACCAAAATATGATACTGTTTTCATATTCTATTATAAAGAACACGTTTAATTCACTTAGGACTACGCGATTTCACTTACTTGCACATTATCAACTGAAGAGCATTTAAATTTTTCCTAAGATTTCTATAATGTAAAAATATATTAACAATTATGTGGTGTTATTCATTAAGACAGACAATAGGTAATTAGTTCCCATTCTTATTTCATTTCTTTTAAGGCAGCATATAAAATTTGAAAATACCACATGGATAATAGCATAGGGATGCTGATCTTAGCTGCCAGGACAAAAATTTTGATGGGGGATGTTGGGGGATAAGTAAAGCAATTATCTCCAAATTAATGCTCTTGTTTTAGTTTCAGCAAACAAATCTAAATAAGTCTTTCTTTGATTTTAGTTTACCATGTAATTCTAGCCAGCTAATTATCCTTGGAGTCACGAATGAGCTGTGAGTGTACACCTGGCTTCTCCGATCATATGCCTATGGCCTCCTCCACTTTCATTTCCTCTTTCTACAATGAGTTTTAATATTAAAGGAAAACACTCACACATCTTATATACACCATTGATGGACAGCCAGCTTCCAGGAAATCATGAGCTACAAAGAGAGGGGGGAAATCTTAATGCAATACTTATGTTAAAGGGTATTAGGTGCTGGGTGAGCCAAGGGTAATGTAATCAGCAGCAGCCCTCTTGCTATTGTTTTTGCATTCAGAAATCTGACGTAAAGGACAGTAATATTATTTTAGTGGTCGCCCAGGTTATGATTCAGATCCTTAAACTAATAAGAGGCTAAATGCACTACCTTCACTTGCTCATAATTCGAATTTATAGACAATATTTGGGAAGAAATAAAAACAGTTTTCTTCTATTTCTGGAAATAAAAACAAGGCATTCCATAAACAAGCTAAGTACCTGGTGATGTGAAAAGAGAAACTACTTTAGATCATTAAAACATTCTAGGAGATGGTTTTCCGAAATATAAAGTGACATAAATTTCTCATATATTTACCTTTTTATTATATTCCTGTCTCTGCACATCAAACAAGCTTTCCTCTACAGATTTATTCTCAACACTAATAAATGTTTGCTTAATAACAGACTGTCCCATTTATGCTTTTCTTTCTAAATTAGCAACCATGACTCCACAAAGAGCACAAAGAAAGCTGACAAAGGCATGGCCAAAAAGCCTCAAGTAGTATGACTACATGCCAGAGCACTTAACATTAAACTACCATTTCTCTCTAAAACTTCTGTTGCCAGAGTGCTCACAAAATCTGGAAGCTCGAAGACAGGTTTCAAGTGCAATTAAATTCTCCAAAAGCAAAACTGTACAAAAATATGCCGCCCTTCTTATGTCACCATTTTATAGACAACATTTTCTCAGGATCTTAATTAAGATAACGATGCACACCTGTGTCAACATTCTCTGGCAAGACAGCCTTATCAATCATAATCCTTTAAGTACACTCCAAAACAGCAAAGCGATATGACAGAAGCAATCTGTTGCCTTTCCTAGCTCCGGTGTTGTGTCTCTCGCACAAGAATGATGAGATCTTTAAAATACAGCAGACCTACTTTTATGAGTCTTTAAAGTTTTAACTGTAAACAGTTATTACACTAAATAAACAGGAATAACCTCTTTTGCACTTGATTTAAACAATGACAACTGTACAGCCAAAACTCGAACAGCAAGCTCTGCAAACATGTCTTAGTAATACAATTGTGGATCTTATGTTAAAGCTTGAAATTTTAAGAGTTATGCATAACTGGATCCGTGCGGACATGACGACCCAATAAACCTTTAGGAAGTCTTAAAATTACAATTTGTTAAAGTCCTACGTTAAAAGCAATCAGGGCATGCCTATCCCCAGTCTAAGTTGAAATGTTCAGAAAGATATAAATGCAAGAGTAACCCCCGGCCCCCCGCCAAAAATGGAGTCATTTTGGTAAAGTGGAAGGAGAGGGAGAGAGCTCCCACCTCTGCGGGGGGAGAAAGCTTCAGTGACCAGAGACCAGTGAAACTACAGCTTAACAAGTAAGCAGGTTCCCAAACGGGAAAGCTGATGAATAAAGGAGAAGAAAGGCAGGGGAGAGAGGACCTTAACCGTCACCACTACCAAGATGAAAAGGTAAAAACCTCGTGTTTACCAGCAAAAACGTAAAAACGTTCACAGGAACACTGAGACACCCCGCCAGATGCTATCTGAATCCCATCTGCCTGCTAATGATCATTTCTTCCATTTCACATATTAACACAAGTCTGAGACGCCGGGCGGCCGTGGCCCGCCGAGCAGCGGAGCCATCAATGTGCAAATAAAGCAGAAAATAGAGACATCCTTAAGAAATGAGTCTTAAATTTGACGTAGAGCGGAGGTGACAACCACAGCAACAGAACCATAACTTCGAAATGCTTCAATATCTTTCAGGATTCTCTCCAGACCTTGACACCAAAAAGAAGACAGTAAAAGGAAAGGGGAGGGCGGGGGGGATAGCCTAGCGGCCCAGAGTGGCCGGATGATGTAATGAGGATGTCTCTGTGACAGACTCAGATTCTCGGTGGCACAAACCTCCATGGCTCCATGTCAGAAAACAGCATCCTGGACGAGAGCCGAGAGGGTGCTGCGGCCGCGCGTGGATGGAGGGGACACGCCCACGCGCGCCCGCCCGGGGACCGTGACATCTGGAGAGGCCCACCCAACACTCACGCGGCCCACGCCCACCCGGCGCCCGGCGGCGCCCGGGGCAGCGCCGCGTCCATCCGGTCCACGAAGGGACTCGGACACGGCGCGAGAGGCAGTGAGCCCGGTCGCGACCGGGCGGGAACGCGGCGGGACGGGGGACCCGGAACT